GAGCCCCTGGGGGACAGTGATGGTCCCTGGCTCCCACCGCTGCCCACTGCAGGCTCTGTCCTCTGGGAGCTCGGCCCAGCCCAGCTTCCCTCTGCCTTTGGGATCTGCAGACTAGCTTTCCACATCCCCAGCCTACGTGTCTTTTGCCTTCAGCACCCCTGGGTGTGCCTCACTAAGCTTCTCATTCTCAGTTCTCACCCTGTCTTCCTACTCTGGTTCCTAAGCCTTTGAGGACCAGACAGACCCCCAGCCCTTCCGTACTCTAGTTCTCTTTCTCTCCTTTTTTGAGAGAGAAAAGCTCTCTGGAGTCTTTACAACTCCACCCCACCCCCTGCTTAGTCATCGGCGGGAGCTTCCTCAGCTCAAAGGCACAGAGGTATGTGGAGGCAAGCCCCGTCTTGCTCTGGGAAGGACACGTTTGCTTCAATTTGCTCTTTTCAAAATACCACCAACCCCTATGCCCTTATTATGTCCTCCATCTCCTAACCTCAGACCCCCACCCCTACCCCAGCCGCTTCTGGAAGAAGTTTGTAAGGCATTTTCTGATCCCCAAACCCCTTTATCAAGTGACTCTTTTTTTGGAAGGAGAACAAGGAGGCTGAGGGAAATGCCTTAATCTTTTGATCATGGCTATGAAGTCTCATGCTTGATCTGCCTCTTCCTTTGCCCATTTCCAAAGCAAACAAGAGGGCTGCGCAGCGGGCGGTAATTAAGCCAGTCATCACTAATGGCATGCCCTGCATCTCCCACTCGAGCACCACGCAGCCCTGTCCAAGCGGGAGGGAGCGGCCCACCCTCACCCCATCCTGCAGGGAGAAGCCAGAGGGGGCTGGGGCTGGGGGGCATCTGCCTCTGGTGTCGGGGGGACAGGAGTTAGGAGAGGGACAGGAGAAAGCAAGGAACACGCAGGCAGGGCAGAAGCACCAAGGGGCCTGGATGGCCACAGGCAAGGTAGGAACTGGGAGGGAATCTGAAAGTAGGATGTGCAGAAAGAAGCATAAGAAATAAGAAGTGGTGTTTTAGGAAAAGGAAGCTAGAAAAAACTGGGCAGTGGGGAGGGAGGGGTTGGTCCTGAGGGGAGGAGCCAAAGGGTGGAGCGGGTGGAGGATGAGCCCCAAGGCTGGAGGCAGAAGCTTAGTCAGAGCCCTCCATGGACCCACGACAGGCATTTCCATCCAGCGCCAGCCTGGGTGGAAGGGATGAGTTACCTGCTGGCTACAAGGAACCTCCTCCCTGCTCTGCGGAAGCACCACCCTCCAGGATGTAAGCCTGCCCCAGATTTAGGGGCTCCAGCATGTGATAACACTGGCGCCTGAGGTCCTGACTTCTGAGCTCCCCCATCTAGAGCTGAGACCACAGCTGGAGCCCCTTTGAAAAGTTTCATCCATCTTCCCTTGCGGAGAAGGAGGCCCAGGGACCAAGCCCCCATCTCCCCAGAGTCATGGGCCCCCTACTGAAGCAAGTAGGATGTTATGTCTCAGCTACAAGGTGTGACACACAGCTGTGGATTCAGGAGTCTGGTTGTGAAAAGATCCTGCAGATCAGAGATGGGGGAGGGTGAGAGCCACCAGGAGCAGTGTGAAGTCTGAGCCAGCGAGCACAGAGGACCGGGGCACACAGGCTCCCAGTTAAGGGGAAGGAAAGAGAGGGGTAGCATGGAGCAAGGTGGGGGGCTGCATGCCAAAGCAGAGAGCCAAGGAGAGGGCCGAGAGGGACCAGCAGCCATGGGAGAGAACCTTCTGGAAATGGATGTGGGGTGGGAGAAAGCAGGAAGAGTTGCTGGCCTGGGATCGGAATTGAGCTGGAAGCTAGCCTGACGCAGGTGTAGACATGGTAGATCATTGGTTGAGGGCTTGCTCTGTACATTTCATCCTCACACCAATCCTGCAAAATAAATACTCTTATTTTCCCACTTTATACACAAGGAGACAGAGGAGCAGGGAGACTGATTTGCCCGCGTTATAAATGGAGAAAGGAACAAACTCTTGCTGCCCGCAAAGTGTATGTCCCTACAGACTGGATGAATTCCTACTCAGAGGTCCCTTCCAGCCTGGATCCACTGAGCCATGGTTCTTTCAGGTCTGCTGAGTTGGGAACAGCTTTAACCTGGAACTTAGTGCTGCAACTGGAGTTCCAGCAGAAAGGATCTGGACTCCCCGACAGCCCTCCTAGAGATGGATGGATGTGCAGTAAGAAGGAGGGGTTATAGCAATGAGCCTCTGAGAGGGACCGGATCTACCAGGGGTGTAATGTGGATGGATACCCACCAGGGAGGGAGGGGTGGCCGGGGCAGTGGAAATGGGTCTGCCGGAGAGGAGAGACCCTCAGCGTCTCTGCTAGTCCATGAAGCACCTGCCGAGCGTGAGTGCAAGGGCTGAGGGATGGTGCCAGAGACAGACTGATCATCCTACCAGCAGCTGTAGACCTGAGGTGGCAGAAGAGGTGGAGGCCCTGGAAGGGAAACTGGAGGCAGCCGGTAAAGGGCAGCTCAAACCTCAGAGCAGCTGCCAAATGTGACCTAAAACGTCTTTAAGACTCTCCCAGTCTCCAACAAGTCATGACCCCTGCACCTCCTCCAGGAAGCCTTCCCAGACCATATGCAGTTCTGATCCTTTCCTTCTGTAGCCCCTTGGCTGTGCCTCGCCAGTGCCTCCATACCTGGGCCATCCACTGCATTAGAGAGAGAGAGAGAGAGACACCTCAGAGGCTCCTCCCCCCACCCCACCCCTGCAGCCAGGACAGGAGTTTGCACACAGTGCAGGTGGGGCTGGGAGGCAGTATTGCTGAAGGATGGGGGCTCTCATTCCCAGGACCTCTGAATCAGCACCAAGATTCTCAGGTGTCCAGTGTGGAAGAGCTATCTGAAAGCCCTGAATTCTCTGACTAGCGCTGAGGAGGTTCAGGCAGCAGCAACACCAGCGCCAGCCCCCACGGCAATTCTGTGAGAGAGAGGTGGGGGAGACAGGAGTCAGGACCAGGGCAACATGGCTGCTGAGACCAGCCTGAGCATGCCAGGGAGGGAAACAGCATCCCCTCCAGCTGGCAGCTCTGCTGGTGGGCACAAATCCTTTCCAAGTTCATCCCACACCCTCTCCGTTTTAGGGAAAAATCTTTCCTCCAGAGCCAGAGATGGAAGGTGCAGTACCTGGGGCTGACAGCAGAGGGCAGTGGATGCACAAAATACAGGCACCGGGGAGTCACTCTGCTTGGAAATCAGCAGTTGGTGGCTGAATGGGAATGTGTGTCAATGAACAGACCCAGTGCTGGTCCTGGCCCTGCACTTAGTCCATCGGAGCCAAGTTTCCACAGCAGGACTGTGCCCGACCCAGAGCACAGCGGGCAAACACAAAAGTCCCCATGAACACGCATTAATAGTAATTATTATAATAACAACTAACATCTATCGGCTGCAAACTATATTCTAGGCATTTCCGTTATCCATTTTCATATTTTCAGCTCTCCTCTACAGCAAAAACTTTGACAGGCAATGAGGCATCGTGCCTAGAAGAGTGGACTCTATGCCTTCCTGCGGCAAACCGAGTGCAGCCTGTGAGCCAGACAGAGGGCCCTGGAATAGAGGGAGGGGCTGTGAGGGGTGAGAGGAGGGGACAGACATGTGCACAGCTAATGTGACACCAGGAAAATAAAGCACCAACTGTAATCCAGGTTCGGGAACAGTGCTGTGGATGTGCAGGGCCCCAATCCCCACCCTGCTGCTCACCAGCGCTGTGAACTTGGGGCAGAGCACTTAGCCATCCGGGCCGCCCTTTGCTCGCCTATGAAGTGGAGGCCTTGGGGGAGTGGTTGGGCCACTAGCTCTAATGTTCCTTCCCATTTAATGCTGGATAACTTGAAGGAGTCCACCTGGGGGGAACAGAAAATGCATGCCCATGGGAGGCGGCATTTCAGCAGGGCCACAAAGGAGGTGTGGCTGTCAGTAAATGGAAAGTGGGCATCTGAGGTTGAAAAGTCATCTTTGCCAAGGTCCTGGGCTGTGAAAAGCCCTGGCCTGCAGGAAGGAAGACTGGAGTGTGAGGCTGGAGAATGATGGGGCGGAGAAGGGGCCATGGGCCTTGAATGCCACCCTCATATGAGGCTTATCCTTGGAAGGTGAGCTCGCCCTCAACTCTCCTGTTTTGCACCTTGCTCAAGGCAATGGTGCTAAATGCTCCTGAGAAAACAGTCTTACAGAAACACGCATGCGCTTCAAAGAGCACCCTTCTTACTCCACTTAATCTTTCTTACAGCCGCCATCACTACCTGACAGTGTGTCGTGTGTCTCTTTGCTGGTTGCTTAGTTTTATTGTCTAACGTAGAGACTGGGAGCTCTGTGAGGACAGGCTGTGTGCACCTGCTTGCTTGCTCCAGTCTTCCCAGGGCCAGAGCCGTGGCCCGCTCGCTAAAGCCTGGTCCAGTGAGCCACTGCTCTGCAGACATAACAGACACAGACCCACAAGGTGAACGTGCAGGCCTCCAACTTATAGTGGAAAGGAATTGGCTGGAAAAAGAGGAAAGCAGGGCCGGTGTAGGGGAACAGGACCAGGTGGTGGGTAGGCAGGAGAGTCAGGAGGAAAGGAAAAGAAAGGAGTGATCGCTCTGGCAACAGGAGGCAGGTGGGGTGGGACACTGTGGGAGCTTTTGAGAAGGGGAACAGGAGGCCACTCCGAAGCTCGAACGCCTGACAGTCCTGGGTGATGGCTCCTTGATCTCAGCGGCCTGAGCCTCTTGGTGTCGGGGATGATAGCTCCTGTCTTGCAGGCCGTTGTGGAGAGGCGCCCCGGTGTGCTGGGAACCCCAAGCCTGCCCGGAGGCGCGTCAGTAACAAATCTTAGCTGTTTACAAGGAGCAGCTGTTACCCAATGCCTACCTGGCCAGGAGCAGACGGCAAAGATCCGTGTCAGGCCAGGGACCCTGAAGGAAGCAAGAGCTGGGCCAAGAAAAGTTGGACAGGGCAGCTCAGATGTCGACATCCCTGGCAACAGATTCGACAGCACACAGAATCCACTGGCATTGACCATTTATTGTGGGGGAAGCAGGACCTAGACATGACCCCAGTCAGAGGACAATGAGAGCCCCTTGGCTGTGAAGACGCAGAAAGGCACAGGGACAGAGGGGCTGGCCCGTGGCTGCAGGGAAGCATCCTGGGTATGTGTGTTATACCTGCATTGGAGGCAGGGACCCAGTGAAAGGTGATCGAGGAGGAGAGCTCACCAAGAGAGCCCACAGCTGGACCTCCTGCACCAGAGCACCGCCCTGCTGAGGGCAACAGGAAGAGGGGATGGGACTGGGATTGTGGTTACAGAAGAAGCGCTTTCCTGACTTGGGAAGGGGACCCAGGGGAGGAGATGAGGACAGCGGGAGGAGACAGATGGAGTCTGCAGCTCTATGCTCGCAGAGCCAGCCATCGCCTGCCCTTTATCTTGAAGCCTTTTTGGTTGCACAGCTGCCGCCTGAGGTTTTAGCAGGGAGAGCCTTGAACTCGCTGCCGCAGCTGCCTTTGGTTTTGACATCCACCGCCGAGGCTTTGTAGCTGTAACCAGTTGAGGTGCCAAAGCCCACGCTGAAGCCAGGCCCTCCTGCCCCGGGGCTGGTGTTGCTGATGACGGCTGCAACGGACGAGAGAAGACCCAGCCCGGTCAGCCTCTTGGGGCATCCTGACTTCTCCCTTAGTTCTCCCTTGGGGTGGCTTCACATGGCAACACAGTCTCCATTGGGTATTTTTAGTTTAGTAAGAAATCTGCATCAGCACCAGCATGAGTCATTTTTCATGTACTTGGTCCCATGTGTTTGACCTTTCCCTAATTCGTCTGTGTCAATCTGTCAATATCGGGCTGTATGCATTAGCAAGCTCTGTCAGTGACGTTTCCCCCGGGGCAGGGCCAGATGAAGAAAGGCACTTCACAGAGGCCTTCTGATGCTGCTGCTGAAGAATGGGCTGATGGGAGTATCCCTGCCTCTCACAGTAGAGCACCTCCCCTGCACTGACTCTAGCTTTTCACTCTGGAGGAGGTTATTTCTGCCTTTTCATCATTCACCCTTTCAGGCGCCCCTCAATCCCTCTTACTGCAATCGAGCGCCTTTTCTATGGACTGGCCTCAACAGAAATAGCTTGGAGTCATTAGGCATCATTCTCACAACAGAACTTTGGATTATATCCTGTTGGGTGTCACTTGATCTTTCTATAGGTTACACTTTTATATTTCATGATATTATTTTCCTCCTTGGTTACTAAAGCCAGCCCTCTCTGTGTCCCTAAGGCTCCCCTGAACCCACTCTGTTATTCTGTTATTCTGACTTCTCTTTGGTGTCGTGGAATTAGAGAGACAGACTTCTGGTCGGGGACAAGGGTAGAACCAGCATCCTGCAGATACTCACAGATGCTCACGGAATTTGGATATTCACCAGACATCCTGAAGAGGGAGAAGAAAAGCAGATAAACCCTCCATAAACCATCACCCCATTGATCCAGGGAATCACCTCTGTGAATCAGCCTCTCTTCTCAGACGTACCACCTCCCACCCCAGCCCAGCCTCCTTTCTTCCCAAACACCCTAGGGGGACCTCTCAAGAAACCTCTCAAGAATATGGGCTACAAGGAGGCAGCTCTCCTTCAAAGTGGCTTTGGGAGTATCTGATACGTGGGACAGTTGTGCCTCTGCTTCTGGCCAGTGATGTCATTGGTCTTAGACGATCAAGAGGAATGAGCTCACATCGTCACTGGGACTTAGGCTTTTCGAGAGTAACCTTGAACTTGGGTGACTCTTGGAGGCCATTTTGCCCTGTCCCCCCTTAAGAATGCATCATGAAGGGTCAGGAATGTTCTATTTACTAATTTCTCTAATTCCTCTCCTACCACTTTGGGATTTTTACAATCCAGTCCCTCTTGCAGTCTAACTTTGCTCTTTCTTAATGTACCATTTCAAGACCATTCTCTATAAGATTTTATCTCAGTAGTACCTGAACAAAACCAAACTGTTTGCCTTCAACCTCCCTACTAAAGCACAGAGAGGATGCTCCAGACAATAGATACCCTCCGACCCTCACCGGCACTCCTCGCCCTCCAGCAGCTTGCGGTAGGTGGCGATCTCCACGTCCAGGGCCAGCTTGGTGCTCATCAGCTCTTGGTATTCCCGCAGCATCCGAGCCAGCTCCTCCTTGGACTGATGCAGGGCAGCCTCTAGCTCGTCGAGCTTGGCCCGGGCGTCCTTCAGGGCACAGTTGCCCCGCTGCTCGGCGTCGGCGATGGCCATCTCCAGGTTGGAACACTGAGGAGCAAATGGATTCAGTGCTTTGGGTCAGAGCACAATGCTGAGAATCTGCTCAGAAGACCTCATTAGGTCCTGACTGACAGTAAATGCTTTGAGGTCCTCCTGGTTTCTCCACCTTTGGACATCACTAGAGGTGAATTCTGCATGTGAAGGTGGAGTGTCCTTCCTCGGGAGAGAGGAGGGACGGAGGGACGGAGAAGGTGACGACCTGGGAGCCTGGCCCCACCCTCCCTCCTGGTCTATAACCTCGACTGTAAGATTCTAACGCCTACCCTGTAAAGTCTCTGGGTCACTAGCTTTAATTTTGCCCCACAGTGTGAAGGTTGTCTTGGGAGATACAGTAAGTTGTGGGGGAAAAAAAAAACCTGGGGACCAAAAAGTGCCTATTAATAAAAGGTCTGTCCAATAAAGCTACCACACTGAGAATCTGGCCTCTAAAATCCCCAGAGGATCATGCCACCGGCCTCAGCCTTAAAAGATACTTTTGCATAACTGACACTTTGTACAAGTTTACAAACATCACTGTTAGGTGTTGCTTACAGAAGAAAACTGCAGGTGAGGTGCAGCGATGCGTCCACCTGAAATCTGGGGGGAGGAAGGTGCTTCTGGAGTCTTTCAGTCTTCGGTGTGTGTTCTGGTCACTGGACTAAAGTTTTAGTGGGATCAAAGTCTTCTTTTTCCAGTGTGTCCCCTTCTTCTGAAGTCAAATTTGCTTCACCCCAAGGAGCGCAGCTGATCCCAAGGCCAGATGGAATTTTTGACTGTTATCTGGCCAATGCCACCCTCCTCTTCCAGGCAGGCCCCCAGCCGTGCAAGCACCCATAGTGGTTTGGGGGAGTGGCTCACAGCCTCAGCAGAAATGCCTAAAACCCAGCTTCCTAACCATCAAAAAGCAAGTTTCATCCTCAGGGCTGCGGGGATCTAAGTATTCAAGGCGGCGGCAGTAAGCTCTACGACCTGAGTTCAGCCAACCTGTCCTTTGCCCTGCACTGCCCCAGACCCTGCAGGTGAACCTGGGGGACTCCGGAAGCTTGGGTCTTGTGAGCCCCCAAGAGGAGCTGCCCTGGGGACCGAGCATCGAGAGTGATTCCCAATGGCTCCCCCACGGAGGACATCTCCCCTGACCTCCAAAGCACAGTGGCATTCTCATCGCAAAAAGTCACTTGCTGCTCATAAGCTCACCTAGCCGTGACCATGTAGCATTTTAGCAGATAAATATGGTGAAATATGGTGATTGGGTACCAAAGGTAGCTTCAAACATCTGGTGATTTTCTTTCACTTATGCAGAATTTGATTAAATAAAAACACCAGAGGTTCTTATTTAATCTGCTCTTATTTCTCTGCACTGCCTTGAGCCTACTGCACTGAGGAGGGAGATGTGTGCGTATGTGTGTGTGGCGCACAGAGAGGGAGGAAGTGGTACAGGGGAAGGGCAAGGAGATGGATGACTTGATTGCCCAAGAAGCTGAGACCCTAAATCCTTGCACCGGCCTCCACAAACTCTGGGAAACTCATGGGTTCGCTTGCTTCGGAATCACAGGTACGGCCCCAATAATGTGCCCCTGTGGGTGGCACGTGGTGTGGGTGCCCCCACAGCACGACCACCAGGAGAGGCAAACCCAGAGCACAGCCCCTGGGCCACGTCTAGCCTGAGAGGCTCTTCCTTCCCAGCTTTTTCCTAAAATCCACCCTGGTGTAACCCCACCTGCTCGAGGAGGCCCCACTCCGGTCCTCACTCAGCCAGAGCCCCCTGGAGCCCTGCAGCACTCACAGCGCGAGCTGTCCAGAGCGGGGGGCTTCATCCTTCCCTAGGAGTCCCGACTGCTCCCTCATCCCGAACTGTAAACTCCTGAAGGAGGACCCTTGTCTGCCTTTTCTCCATAGTTGGTCTCATACTGATTGGTGCTCAACAAACCCTAGGAGTGAACTCATTTCATCCAACCCACCTGCTTCTTCACGTTCCCGATCTCCGAGCGGAGCCTCTGGATCAGCCGGTTGAGATCTGAGATCTCAGCCTTGGTGAGTTTGAGGTCATCCCCATGCTGGCCGGCCGTGACCTGCAGCTCCTGAATCTGAGGTTGGGGGGTCAGAGACAAGGAGCACAGGACGGTTGAGAATTCACCCACTAAGGGTTTTCCAGGAGGGGGAGGGGGACCGCATGCAGTTCTCTTTATCCAAGCTGCACAGGCGCAAGAGGAGGGAGGGTGGGGGGAAGGGGGAAGACAGCCCTTTCCTTCTGGGTAGGCAGGCCCTGCCCCAGGTCAGCAGGTACCCCAATTGTCAAATGTGCGAGCCTTGGTGGAGTCTGAATTTCCTGTCCTCACTTCAACAAAACTGGAAACAGAAGAAAAGCTGAGACAGGTGGATTAGCCACAAAAACAGCGCCAGAATCTTATCAGGGTTGTGGCTTGTGTGGCCTCAGCTGTCATCAAGGGCCATGGCAGGGGAAGGGCTAAACCCCTATATGTCCTCAACACATGCCAAGACTATGGTTGATCTCTCAGGATCACAGGAAGGCATTTCCACAAGGCCCAGCTCCAAGAGGAAGGAAGTCCCTGCCCAGCCCAAAGATGCACGCACACACAGAAGCACCTGCATGCGAGCATGCACACACGACAGCAGGGGGCAGCTGTGGTCACTGGGCCTTGGCACACCTGGCACTCGGCCCACCTTGGTCTGGTACAGCGCCTCGGCCTCGGCCTTGCTCTTCAGGGCGATCTCCTCGTACTGGGCGCGGACCTCGGCGATGATGCTGTCCAGGTCCAGGTCCCGGTTGTTGTCCATAGACAGGACGACAGATGTGTCGCTGATGTGGGACTGGATCTGAGCGATCTCCTGGGGGACAGTTAGGGGAGCAGAGCCAGTTCAAGGGCTCCCATGAGGGAGGATCTTCTCTGGATCCTTCTTGGCAAATTCACTCCCACCTCCCCGCCCCTTCCTGCCCTTCCTTGGCATTTGAACTCTGCCTTCGGCAGATCCTCGGAGTGCCAGTGCCCACGGGTGTGAGATGAACGCATGCAGCTCCCGGCCCTAGCGTGGGACCGCCCTCTCCATCGTGCACTCAGGGCTGCTCCCACCCTAGTCCACTCCCTCTGCAGCAATGGCCACCCTTCACCTGTGGAATCAGTCTGAACTCCTTACGTGGCACTCAGCATCCTCTACGAAGTCGCCAACAACCTCCCCTTCTCTGGGCCTCTCATGCTGCAGCGCAGCTCTGGCCTCCAGATCTCCCCTTGCTCTGCTCCTTCAGGCCAGGGCATCGTGCCCTTCCCAGCACCTCGGACACCTTGCACAGCTTTCTCCAGGACCCTTCTCTGACAGCTCGGGCAGAGCTCACCATTCCTTCCACTGCTCTGCTAAAGCTCCCTACATGCTGTTTCCCTGCCAGGCTGCAGATTTCTGGAGATAGGAATCGTTTCTTCTCCATCACATTCTCCTCTGAGCCTACCCCACTGCTCAGCACATAGTAGGGCCTCAGCAAATGGCAGCTGTACTGAGTCCAAAGGTCCCTCTGCCAACCTTTGGTCCACACAACCGTCCAAGCCAAGGGCCAGAAGCTACTTATAAGAGGAGCAGGGCACCCCAGAGAGGTCAGGGATGACCTTACCCCTTCATAGAGGCGCTTGAAGAATTTGATCTCCTCTGTCAAGGCGTCCACCTTGGCCTGGAGCTCAGCCTTGTTCATGTAGGCCGCATCCACGTCCTGGGGAAGACAGAGAGGGGCCAGCTGCCTCCCTGTATCCTCCCTCCTGCCACCAGGAGCCCTAGGTTCCCTGCTCTCTCCACTCCCCCACCCCATGCTTCAATGGGAGGCCCAATCCCTGAGAGCAAACGCAACCAATGAGCAGGGCAATGGCCGCACCAGAAGTATGGCCAGTGCCTGGGTCTAGAAGGATCTGGGAGCAGCTCCATCCCAGGCAAGAGACTTGGAGAGGAGTGGGCAATTACAATCCTAGTCGCCCCTGCCCGAGGGACTAAGTGACCCATAAGGTCCCTTCCCTCAGCCGACGAACAGCACTGTCCTGGGCGCTGAGGGAGCCTCTGGGCTGCTTCCAGCCCTTCCTGCTCCACTCTTACCTTCTTGAGCACCACAAACTCGTTCTCAGCAGCTGTGCGTCTGTTAATCTCCACCTCGTACCTGTGTGGGGTGAGAGAAAGGAGACAGCGTTGCCGCTGGGATAGGTCAGTTCTGCAGACGCTGCCTGAGCAGTCAGTGAACGCCTCTGTGCCCGCAGCTGTGGGACAGTGGTCTGCAAATTGGGCACGATGTATCCCCGGGGCACGCAGAGCCTTCCCAAAGGGGATGGGAAGAACAGGCTTCAGGGAATCAACGTCCAGCTCCTTTGCTGACAGGCAGCCTGCCCTGCAGTGCATCTGCCTGGGCCTCACCATGTGCCTTAGCCCAGGGGGCAAAGCCTCCCAGGCACCAACAGAACACTATCCCCACCTTCAAGCTGTATGTTCTACTTGTTTCTGACAGAGTTCTGTGCCAGGTAAAGCAGGGTCTTAGAAATACATCCAGACAGATGGGAATGGGACGGTCTTAATCCACAGATATTCCAGCTTGGGGAGAGGTAAGAGTATTGATCATTGCCCTTACAGACCTCACTATTCCATCCCTCACTATTGTCAAAAAGCATATTACAGGACATTTGTGAGAACAAACAGAAGAGAGCATTGGAAAGAAGTAAGTCATGCTAGAAAAGAGCTTTTTGCATGTACTTTGACATGAGCGATTCTTTCCAGCTTTTACTCCTTCCTAAGGCCCTGGTTGCCAAGAAAGAATTTGTTGAATGGTTGAAGTAGTACACTTTCGTGAAGTGGGTTATTTCAAATGTGACTGGAATGAAAACGAATGTATGCATGTATATGCATGACTGGGACACTGTGCTGTACACCAGAAATTGACACATTGCAACTGACTATATTTCAATTTAAAAAATAAATAAATAAAATAAAATGTGACTGGAACATTTTCTGAGACTGTCAGATTTTTCTAGGTTCCCTGGATAAAACACTCAGAACATAGTTTACAGGATTTATCTCAGGCGCTTTGTGTGTTATTCAAAAGATAATTGAAAACTTCTTTTTATCAAATTATACTAGGAAATAGTTTTTTCTATTACAGTCACTCTTTATCTCATATTATCTTCCATCATCCCATTATCTTACTTTATCATATTATATTCCTGTTAACAGAAATAAAAGTATATATGCTACTTGCAGACCAATTAGCTTTTAGCAATTTATATCTTTCTATTTCATAAAATACGTAGAAAAGGTTTGATCATTTGAGATGGCTCTCAAAATTAATGACCTTCATATGCTATAAATAACTTTTCATTATTTACTCTAGAAACCAAATATCAGAGTTCAATACACACATACAGCATTTACAAAGGAAAGCGATGCATTTTTATTACTATCAACTTTATAAGTAGCTTCTAATTTTAAAAATACATTACAAAGCTAACTAAAAGTTAAACCCTGACAAAGTACATATTGATTTATCTTGTTTTAGAACATAAGTAGATGTATTAATTATATTAAGTCTACATCATTTTAATCTTTAATGTTTTCAATAACCTACTGTACAAGAGGTCATCCTAAGTTTATTGCTGACGGATTTTAAAATAGTCCCCAGAAGTACATGTTTATATTTTTCTTTGTATTTAGAAGTGAAGCCAAACTTTTTCTGATAGAAAGCAGCTCTTAACCTCTCTGGTCTGACAATGAAAGCTGGCTTTTTCAATTAAGCAAATGTTTTCTAT